GCTTCCCCCTCCCACAAGCCCTGCCATCTCTGCCATCCCCCACCAAGCTCAAACCTCGGTGGTAGAAAACCCCCTGTCCCCTCCCCAAGGACAAATGGCACCTCTGGGGCCCCCCAAGGCTTCCTCATTCCTGCCGGATGACGGCTGCCATAAATCCCATTGTATGCGTAGGGAGTTCAAGCATTTCTTTACCATTTCAAAAATCTCCAGGAGGGGTTAGGTGCTGTCCCTGCCATTGCTCTCCTTTTGCAGGATTATTAGAGTGAGAAAGAAGTGATAAGGGCAGAGAAGGTCAGCTGGAGGAAGGAGTAAGGAGTAACTGTCCCCAACAGGGTGCTCTGGGACAGTCCCATTGCTGCCACCCCTGACCGAGCAGGTCCCTGAGGTTTCGGCAGCAGGAGAAAGAGGAGATGGTTCTGCTGCACTGCTCTCAGCTCCTGCCTGACAAGGAGGACCACCAGGACAGCCTTGGCCACTGGCAGTGGTGATGCCAGCCTGGGCACAGAACGGCTCCAGGCAGGGTCAGGGGACAGGACAGGATGTCCCGACCCTGTGTCAGGCACTGCCTTGTTAGAGATGCACCTTTCCTGCTCCTTGTCCTGCTGCCACACGTGCAGGGGCAGGGCTGCTTCCAACGGGGATCCAGTGCTGCTGCTGGAGAGTCCCTGCCTGTCCCACCTGTGCTACAGCACAGCATGTGCTCCAACACGCCCCGGGCGAGCGAGAAGCTGGCACACACCCCCCCACTGCCTGTGGAATGGCCTAGGGAGCACACTGGTGCTGCTTCCAGCTGGGCCCCCTTCCTTACTGCTCTGGTTTGACCGCTGAGGGGATCAAAGCTGGCTTCAGCACCCATGGGTGCCTCTGGCCCCTCCACACACACCCAGATGAGCCCTCCTCTCCCTGCTGCCTTCATGGCTGCAGCCCAAGAATCCCCCCTACCCATGGGAGAGCCCTGGGAGGGTGTGAGCTGGGGTGCAGCTCACCCTGCTTTGAGGCCAGGACCCCCCACACCTTCCTGCCTTGCTGCAGTGTGACTGCAGAATTACCCTGCCAACACTTTGGGGCTCCGTGCACAATGGTTTTGATCTCCCAGTGCCTTTTACAATGATTTCCAGGAGAGGAAAAACCCAGCCCTAAGCCAGTAAGCACCCCTGCCCTCAGTTCTCAGCAGCGGCCGCGGGCAAGGGTCTGTACAATTGCCACCAATATAATTATTACGTGCTGGGGTTGCATCCTCTCCCTGCTGCACAGCAGGCAGACTTTGGCCTCTGCCCGCATTTCATCCCCCTCTCATGGGAGGCACTTGCAGGAGGGAGCCAGGCTGCATTCCCTGGGCCGGGCACCCTCTGCAGGACCCCAAAATGAGGGGCAGGGACCACCCGTGCCATGGGGAAAGCAGGGAGGGATATGCTGGGGAGGTGGCATCCAGACCCTCCTCCTCACTCCCTCATGCTGGCGATGCCAGGGAAGGAGCGTGAGGTGTCTGGGGGCCCCTTCCCCCCCCCTTCCCAGGGCAATATGAGGTGCTGGCGCCTGGTGGCAGCCCCACACCTTAGTTGATTTAGCTGGGGGTGATCCGCCGTGTCCTTGGGGCTGGCTGCCTAAGGTGCAATCACACAAGCCCGGCCATAAAACCAGCAAGGCTCCGGTAGCAGCTGCCCGGAGCTCCTGCCCTCTTGGCTGGAAGGAGGAAGTGCACGGGGAATTTAAAATCCAAAGTAACTGTTTCACAGGCTGCCCTGCAAATGGAAGGAAAGTTTCAGTGCTCCTTGCTTTGAATCCTGTCATCTCCCCACGCCAGTTTATCTTTACTCCATCATTCAGATCTCAGGACAATCAGATTTGCTTCCTTCCAGCTTCCTGGGAAGAACTATCAGAGGGCCCTGGGGCTTGTCTGAATGGGAGGAGCAACAAAATTCATCCAAATTGCTGGTGAGGACAGGTTCATGGAGCTTCTTTCTGTACAAGTGCTGAGGGGATAAGTTCCAGGGGCTTTCACTTCATTCATGCCCATCAAAAAACAAAATTCACCCAAGCCAGGCACACCTCCACCTGCCTGGAAAGGAGGCTGACCTGGTCAAAATAAAGCACTATTTATTTACTAATTAAAACTATTTTTGGAGTTTCTGTGCACAGAGAAGCCTTCAGTCACCCCTCTGAATTGCAGAGGAGGGACACAAAAAGTTACACATTACAATTTTTTCCTGTGCATATTGCACTTTTGAATACCAGCAACACGACCCTGCCAGCAAATCCTATAGAAACATTTCCTGCAGGGCCAGGGTGGCTGCACCTGGACCATCAGTGCCTACACTGCCACAGGCAGGACCGTCCCTGTTGCGGAGGGATGGGAATAATTCAGTTTCTCAGAGGGGAAAATGTATCATGGTGAGATAAAAGTGACAACAACATAGCAATTAGTTCTTTTTGCTGCTATAATTAGCACTGCCATAAGAAGAAAATCAATGCTAAGAGCAGCAGGCACGGCCTGCTCCCCTCCTCAGCTCTGCCTCTACCCCGAGACCTTGGCAAAGCCGTGCAGGCACCCACACTCACACTCGTCAGCCACGCTCAGCTTCACAGGGCAAATGGAAGCTTGGGTTAGGCTGAATTCAGGTTTTGGGGTTTTTGTCTTCTTTGCCACTGAGGCAGCCAAGCCCCTGTGTCCAAGTGGAGAGCTCTGGGTGGGTGCAAAGTCCCCTGTGTGAGCGCACACATGCACACACACACGCATGCAGACACACACACACACACACGTGCACACATGCACATACTGGGAGGGAGGGAGAGCTGCCTCTGCAAAGAGGGAAGGACAGCCAGCAGCTCACCAGAACTCTGGGAGAAAGCTTTGTGAAAAGCTTTGTGAAAACATACCCCTAGTGTTATTGTTGCTATTATTTTTTGTTAGTTTGCAGTCTGATAAGAGGGGTTGGTTCCTCACACTGCACAGGACAAACGGAGCAGGAGGGGGTTGTGGTTCAGGACCAAAGCTGGAAATGGGCTGTGCTCGAAATTTTCTCCCTCCCCTTCCATATCTTGCAGGGATTTCCTTAGGCTTCAGTCCTTTTTCTTTTGCCACTAAGGCAAGCCACAAGTGAGCAGCCCGTTTTCTGGATTCTCTGGTGGCTAATACAGGCTTGAGCTGACACTGTCACCCCTTCTCTTCACAGGATGCTACCTAAAGTGACAACCCATGACCCAAAGCCTAGCCAGAACTCCTCATCCATCAGAACGGCTGGAACAGGGAAATAAGCATGGAAGTCTTACTGAGCCAGGGCCTGCAATGCAGCTTTATCAAAGAGTGGCAAATGCCTGTGAAGGATCGTGGAAGGTGGATGAGGCACACAGGGGTTGCACAAGCTGAATTTTCTTTGAAATCCAGGATAAAAATGCCCTCTAAGGATGAACTGCAGATGTTATCCGAGATCATTATCCTGATCTGAGCTGTTTGCCCAGGGGAAAAATGGCCTTGAGCTTTCCAGTCTCCTTCAGGTGTGACCCAACCCTTTTCCGCCTGGCGCTCAGCCCCACCTCCATGAGCGGCTGCGCCGCTATTCCCGGGCCAGCAAAGGAGGAACCGGGCACTGGAAAGAGGGCACCAAAGCTCCGGGCATGGCACAGGTTTCAGCAGCAGAGAAAGCCTCCTGATCCACCTCTCACCCATCTTAAGCCTATGCTCTGCCCTCGTTTTGGAGTCTCATGGACACAGGCACCAGGCTTGTGTTCCTTGGGCTGAAATCTTCTTTTGTGTCCTTCTGCCCACCAGCAGCTGGGAAGCTTTTCCCCAGCAGGAAAACATCTCCTATTCGTGCACATCCCCTCTGGGCACTCCTGCCCTCCCACCTCCATCACACCACTTCCCTGCCCCTTGCAGCTGGTCTCGAAGAAAGGAAAATGGGCTTTTCCAAATGGGCTTTTTCCACATCGTGGCTGCTGCGAGGTTTTAAACCAGACCAGCTGCTAATCTATGCTTGGAGAAGGTCCCCTCTCACCCCAGAGCACGGAGAGGGGGCAAAGCAGAAGAGCAGGGTCACAGCTGGGAGCTGAGCCCTTCAGTGAGGCCCAGCCCTTGGGAGAAAGGGAGGAGCAGGAACACCTGAACCACCAGGGCAGAAACTGAGATGGTGAAAGCCAGCCTGAATGCCCCCTGGGATTTCAGCCCCTCCAGGGATTAATGGCAGGCTTGGGTAGAGGCACTGGGGGAGCTGCACCCTTCCCCAGTGCCAAGGGTTTGTGCTGGCTGCCATCCACCAGGCTCTCGGCTCGACCCCGTTCTTGGCACTCCAGTGCCAAGCACTTGTGCACAAACCCTAATGACAGCAAACACACCGAGAGCACAGCCATTAGACTCGATTGAAACATTATCATCCCCACTAATTTCACCTTTTTTTTAAATCACGCTCATTCAGCAGAGAGATGGAAAAATTATAATGAGGAGGGATCAGTCTGACATGTGTTTGATTTCCCTCTTCCACTGCAGACAGGGCTGGGGATGGAGCAATTCTGTCTTCAGAGCACGAAAAACTGGCAAACACGGGGCCTTAAGGCCACACACTGAACAATGAGAAGAAACCAAACAATTGAAGAGCAGCTTTCTCCAGCTGCTTCTCTCATGCAATTCGGGATTTCTGGGCGAGCAGAGCGCAGAACTGGTGGTCTTCCCTCGACAAAACCAGAAATGTTTCTTGCACGGACAAGAAACCTCCTTGTGTTGGCGCTGGCCGGCAGGAAGCTGCAGCGAGCATCCCCTCCGGAACAGCCCGGGAGACACGGCACAGCTGGGCACCCAATCCCAGCGGCGCTGGGGAACAAAGGCCCGCTTTCAGCAGCCCATGGCAGAGCTTGTGGCCAGCAGGGTGCGAGTGCCCGGCCCCGGAGCGGCATCTCCAGGGAGCGGCAAACCATCTCCAGGGAGCCGCTGCCCCGTCCCGCCCCCGGCGCTGCGCCCGCCCCGCCTCGGCGCTCGGCTGCTCCGGCCTGGCTCGCTGCGCTCGGCGCTCGGCCGGGGGCGGGGCGCGCCGCCTCACGCTGTCCGCACCCCCGCCCGCCCGGCGCTTCCCCGCCGGCCATGTCGCGGGGCTCCCGCCTGGCGCTGGCCGTCTCCGCGCTGCTCTCCGCCGCCATCGTGGCGGCCGTGCACATCCAGCAGCGCCGGGAGCTGGAGGTGAGTGCGCGCCGCGGGCCGCGGGGGGCAGGCGGCGAGCGGGGCCGTGTCCCGGCCCTCGCTGTGGCCCCGCCCCCTCACCTGGCGGCCCGTCAGGCCCCGCCCCCCCGGCGGGCTCACGCCGAGCCCCGCCCACATACAGGCCCCGCCCCTGAGCCCTCATGTCCCTGCTCCATCCCTCCATCCCCTCCATCCCCTCACCCATTCCCGCAGCTCCTTGTCCCTGCCCGCGCCCCAGCACTGGGGGCTGCGGGCTCTGTGTGTGCCCAGCCCGGCTCCCAGGGGCCGGAGCTGCCCCTGCCCAGCGCTGCCTCGGCTGCATTGCTCCCCATGGTGCTCCCTCCACAAGCCACCCCTTCTCCGCCTTTTCCTGCCTTGGTGCCTGGGCTTTTAGCTCTACCAGCTTCCTAATGCTGTCCTGTGCATTTCCCTTCGGGGCAAACAGGAGCCAGGAGCTCCAGGTGAGGCTCGCTGGAGGTGCTTCCTCCCTCTCCAGCAGCCAGCATACAGGGGAGGGGGGATGTGATCTTGCAGCCTTCAGCCAGTGCCACCCCTCCTGGCAGTGTTCCCAGTGCTCTCCCCTGGCTGTGGCTGTGCTGTCCCACGTGTGCCCTGTTTTTCCTCAGCCCCAGAAATGCACCCTGCTGGACGACAGACAGCCCTGTGCTGTGCCGTGCCCCTGCTCCCCTCTTGTTCTGCCAGGGCAGGCACAGTGCAAGCTGTCAGAAGCACCACGAGATAATTGAACAGGGCGGTTCTCTGTGCTATATTTACAAAAATCAGGGAATTCCTGACAGGCAGCCTGTGCGCCAGAGAGCCCTCAGCCAAAAGGTGTCAGGTGACCATGGTGAGTCCTGAAGCAGAGCAGTCCTGCCTGGACTGCTGTGTGGTTGTGTAAAGCTGTGCTGTGTGGGCAGTGAGTGTGCTGGTGTGGACCCTGCTGATGAGCCCGGGGTTATATGAGGGCACACATCTTATCCTGCTCCACTTACATGCAAAAAAAAAAATCTAAAAAATGCACACAGAAACAGCCGAAGATTCCAAGTACGTTGAGTTGCTGTGGCAAAGCCCCTGCCCAGGCAGCAGAGGGAACAGCCTTGCGGGAGGGGGGAGCCTGGGTAGGGTTGGTCCCGATCAGCATCCCCCGGGCTGTGATAAACCCTGCCCTTTGTGTTTCCAGAGGCTGCGAAGTGGCGTGGTCAGAGATCTAGAGCGTCAGAATCAGAAAAAGGAGAATGTTCGCCTGTTAGAAGAGCAGATTGCTCTGACAAAGAAGCTCATTGAAGAGAGAGACAAGGCGCTAATGGAGAAACCTTCCCAGCAGTCCTAGGCACGGGCCTGGCGCCTTAGAGGTTTGATTAAAGACGTCTGAAGGTCATTTGCATCTCACTTCTGGCCGATGTTTTAACAAGCAGAGCTAATCTGTGAAAGACTGGTTGTTTTGTATAAATTATAATCCAGCCTCTGCAGTTTTAGGGCAGACAAAAACCCATTTCGTCCGTGATTGATACTTGGACTGTGGAGGCTTAGCCCACATCAGAAGCTGCGGAGGAAGAGCTCATTGTTGGGCAGGCTCCCTCTAGGATGGCAAACAACGTCCACATGAGTGGGCTGCTCAGCCGCCACGACGATGAAGCCACCAGGACCTCCACCTCCGAGGGCCTGGAGGAGGGCGAGGTGGAAGGGGAGACTCTCCTGATCGTGGAGTCCGAGGATCAGGCTTCCGTGGATTTATCGCACGACCAGAGCGGGGACTCCCTGAACAGCGACGAGGGTGAAGCCTCCTGGATGGAGGAGATGTCCTATTACTGTGAGAAGTGCCAGAAGTGGATCCCAGCAAGTAAGGCTGCCCGTTGTGTTCTTTTTATAATTCTTCGTGGCCAAGTCAAGCAGTAGTGGCTTCATGTTCAACAGATCCAGTTATTTAGGTAACATAATGGAAATAAATAATGTGGATGTTTTACACTCCCGGTGTAGAGATTATTTCAAGTTTATCTTTATGCAGATTAATAAACGTTTGACTTCTATAAATTGATGTGCCAGGCCCAGAGTGGTTGAAGCTTGCACATGCTTTTCATGCCTGCAAGGAGACAAGCAGGGCTAACTTCCAGGAATAGAGGAAGATGAGGAGATTAACAATTTTCATAGGTCTTTGTCACTTGTGACACTCAAATTCTCAAGGTGTCTTTTGCAAAGTATGGATTTTCAAAGGAAATACATCCACCATCTGAAAGATTGCAATGTTTAGCGAAGGAAAAAGGATTACATTCTTGGTGCAGTTGATCAGTTACTTTGTATCTCCCCACATCTTTATTGCTATTAATTAATAGTAACGTAATAATGAGTTTATGAACTTTGTGTTCAGTTTCAAATTATTGATTCGCAGTAATCAGTAATTACAGTAATTCGTAGCCTGAGTTCAGTTGATGGAAGTTGGTGGGAATGAACTGGTTTTATTAGATTAATTTCTGGAGAGTTTTGATTATTGGCTGACGTATGTGTCTGTGCATTTTCTTAACAAAAAGTGGGTGTTTGCAAGGTGTTCGTGCTGTCCTGTTTCACAGCTTGTTGGGCTGTTCCCTGTCCTGCTTTGGTGGGTGATGCCTGCTGGCAGGGGCTGTGTTAGACACTTCAGTCCAGGAGTTGTGTGTGCCCAGAGCTGGTGCTCTCTCTGAGGAAACCAAACTGTCTTCTTTAATTAATAGAGAACATTAAAGTTCAGAAACGTGCCCACCCTTACAGTTCTTGCAGCTGTTTGGGGGATTGAGCCAATCAACCTGACTTCTGCTCACGCAAATAATGACCCTTGCTGTAAAGCTCTGGGAAGGAAAAGAACTTTTTATGTTACTTTTTCCCCTCCCTGTTGATTTGTCACATCTGTGGAGCTTATGGCTGGATCTCAACCTTAATGTTTTCCCAATAATCTGAATTTAAATTGGCTTAGAAACATGCCCAGCCTTCAGCAACCAGCTCTGGGGGGTGTTAGGAGCAAGATGCAGAATTTGGTGCCTCTCATCTGGCACTTGACATAAAATATATGCTGTTAGCAGTGTAATAGACAACTTTACATTCATTCTAAGTTCTGGATTATCTGATCTGTTATTACATCCAAGAGCCAGATATTGCTAAACACCGGTTGGCTTTGGTTTTGGTGGGGTTTTTTGTTTGTTTGTTTTTGGTTAGAAATAACGAGCTGTTTAGGTGGCACCTGCCTTGCAGATATGTCAGAGCTGCCCTTTTTGCCTTCTTAGAATTTGCCAAAATTTATAGTGTAAAAATCTCCTCTCAAGGTGTGTTAGTGAATGTTTAGGTGTTAATGTAATGAAACCAGCACCAGACTATTAAATTACTATGCAGTAAAAGGAAATATTAACTTGAAATGTATTAATAAAAAATGAATCAGAATTAAAGGTAGCATGAGCTTTCTGGTTCTGGAGCGCTTGATTTAACACTCAACTTGTTTTATTTTACAAATATGTTCCTCTCTGCAGTTGCTGTGGAACAAATGCAAGGAGCAGAAAAGGCCATTGCAAAGTAATGGGAACCACAATGGTAGCCACATTTACATATGTACAGAGTAAATGAGCTGTCAAAGGGAGATACTGTGCTTTTTCCTAATCATTCAGTTCTAGGGTGTTCAGTTGTCTCATGTGAAAATGGCCAATGTGCTCAGGCAAATAATCACTTTTTTTAATTTGAATTGCCATTTAGAAATTCTCCTAATCTACCAAGTGTTGGGAGTTTTCCCTCAATCAGATGCAGTTGCAACTTGAATTCTGCAATTCAGTATGGAAGCAGGGTATCCATATGTTAAAAATTATACAGTAAAAGAGATTACATCCTTGTAGAGAAACATCTTTTGAGTGTGACTTTCCAGAGACATTCTAGTCTTAACATTGTTTCCCTGTCCTCCGATGTCATTTTCAATTGTTCATGTCTGTGTAAACTCCTGGTGAGTTTAGAAGCCCTGATTCATATGATCATTTTTCCTCTGCTGTAGAAACATGGAATTAGAGCCTGTAACTTTGGGTGCTTCGGGGTTTATAGGTGGTTCTGTCATTTTTGTTCAGACAAACCTGATCTTGGAAGAAATCCAAATTTCCTTTGCAGCACTTATTCCTATAAAAGGGCCAAAAGATTGATTTTTTTTACCTTTTCATTTTAGGTCAACTGAGAGAACAGCTCAGCTACCTCAAAGGAGACAACTTTTTCAGATTTACTTGCTCTGATTGCTCAGAAGATGGGAAGGAGCAATTTGAACGTCTGAGATTAACATGGCAACAAGTAAGTGAAATGTTTGTGCCAGCAGAACAGCCGTGGGACTTTCTGAAATTGTTAGTTGTTGTGTATATGCTACCTGGAAAAGGAGGCTTGGGTATTGGTAACAAAGGAGCATTTGAATGAAATTCAGAAATTAATTAGCTGAGGATTGCCTGCACATGAGAACTTCAGCACTTGGCAGGGAAATTGAAAGATAATCATACAAACCACATTCCTTTTCTTTTTTTTTTTTTTATCTTCCCCTTATGTGTCTCGTGAATTCATGGCTTCAAGCGGGTTTGGAAAAGCAAAATAAATGCAATTTGGCTTCTAGGCACGAACAGTTTTTTATGTCTATAAAAATGTAAAACTAGTGAGGTGGCAACATAGAAACAGAAAGCTTGCCAGCTCCCTGGGTACAAAATTCCAACCTGGCTGCTTGTGCACTAGCATCAGTCCTTGCTGGAATTCACTGTTGCAATCATTTGCACACCTGAGCAATCAAAATAAAAATCTGTTTGAATCCTTTGGGCCCATAATAGTGTGTTGTCTCATAGAATATCACAGGATTAGCTAGAATGGAAAAGACCTTTGAGATCATCAAATCCAACCTATGACCTAACACCACATGGTCAACCAGACCATGGCAGTGAGTGCAACATCCAGGCTTTCCTTAAACACCTCCAGGGATGGTGACTCCACAAGCTCCCTGGGCAGCCCATTCCCATGCCCAGTCACTTCTTCTGTGAAGAAAGTCTTCCTCATGTCCAGCCTAAACCTACCCTGGTTCAGCTTAAGATGTGTCCTCTCATCCTGTCACTTGTTGCCTGGGGAAGAGGCTGAGCCCCCCACCTGGCTGCACCCTTCTGTCAGGCAGTTGTAGAGTGATAAGGTCTCCTCTGAGCCTCCTTCCCTCCAGCCTAAACACCCCCAGCTCCCTCAGCTGTTCCTCATAGGATTTGCACTCCAGATCCTTCACCAGCCTCGCTGCCCTTCTTGGATGTGCCCTAGCACCTCTACATCGTTCCTGAATTGAAGCGCCCAGAACTGGACATAAGGCTTGAGGTGCGGCCTCACGAGTGCCACATACAGGGGAAGAATCACTGCCCTGGTCCTGCTGGCCCCTAGTCCTGATCCAAGCCAGGATGCTGTTGGCCTCCTTGGCCACCTGGGCACACTGCTGGCTGGTGTTTAGGCTGCCATCAGCCAGTACCCCCAGGTTCCTTTCTGCTGTAGTGCTGCAGGGGGTTGTTGTGGCCAAAGTGCAGGACTCAGCACCTGCTCCCGTTAAACCTCCTATTGTTGGATTTGGCCCATGGATCCAGCCTGTCCAGGTCCCTCTAGATGGTGTGGGAGGCTTTGCTGAAGTCCAGATAGACAAAATCCACAGCTTTCCCTGCATCCACCAGGCAGGTCACCTGGTCATAAAAGGAGGTCAGGCAGGAGCTGCCCCTCCTGAATCCATGCTATAGGTGCCAAGGGATGGCACTCAAGATGATGTGTTCCATAACGTTGCCAGGCACTGAGGTCAGGCTGACAGGCCTGGAGCTCCCTGGATCCTCCTTCCAGCCCTTCTTATGGATGGCTGTCATACTGGCCAACCTTCAGCTGTCAGGTACCGTCTGGTGAGCCAGGACTGGTGGTAAATGATGGAAAGCGGCTTGGTGAGCTCTTCTGCCAGCTCCCTTGGCACCCTAGAATGGATCCCATCTGGTCCCATAGACTTGTGAGCATCTAAGAGGTCACCAGCTGCTTCCTCCTGAATAACAGGATTATTATTCTGCTCCCTGTCCTTATCTACCAGCTCAGGAGGCCACTTGTCCTGAGGACAAGCTCTCAGATTGTAGAAAATACCAGTCTTCTTGGCTTTTCCTTGATTCTTACTCATAGGCACTCAGCCTTATCGTCATACAAGCTAATTTGGAAGGCTGTAACTCCTGCACTGCTTTGTCATGGTGGCCAGGGCAGGAAAAAGGTTGGTGTAGGTAGGGACTGTGCTGGCAGACTGGCAGAGTTTCGCCAAGTTCCAGACTGGGAAAGCAAAGGCTGCTGGCATTGCCCAGGTCTCTTCAGAGTGCCATGTGGAAGGGGCAGACAGATTGAAAATGGGTGAGGAAGAAAGCTGTGACCACCTCCCTGGGCTTCCAGCAGCCAGAGTTGCTGCTGCTTCTGGGTAAGTGGAATTGAGAGAAATGGTCAAA